TTGACACGACGCAACGGCGACACGTCAACAGCTTGGCGTCGAACTGTGCCAGCCCGTCCAATTCTTGTAGAATCTTCACGAGGGCCACTGTTTATAATCGCATTCACCAACACTTGGACAGGATTCTGAATGCGTATGAGAATTAAATGAATCAATTAGAACAAGCAAACAAGATTGAGAGACACATCAAAGATGGCACATTTAAGGGATTTGACGGTGATTTTTCGCGTAAGAGAATTTCACACAGGGCCGTGACGCAGCCGCAGCGCGACCGCGACTCTAACATTTGCGCTGCAATTACAAAGCATATTTCAAACTTTGCATTTTTCCCCCGCGATAATTTTTAACAAAAACTAAGCTTAAGTAAATTATGCCATTTTCTCTTTACAATCGGATACCTATATATAGACGCGCATGTAGGTAAATGTATACATTCTTGGACGCTATAACGTTGGTCAGTAACAGCAAGATTCGTACATGCGCATTACGTACAAGTGTAAAATTGGCTTCTTGATCTAATATATTGTGTAATCACGCAACGTGTGCTGTAAGGGTATAAGCTATTATTCATCTGCACATAATATATTTCGACTGAGATGTTTTACGCACATGCCCGCGGCAGTGCGTCAGGATGCAAAAACGCACTGCGGGGGTAGTCTACCCGCGAGTTCGACCTATCAGCGCACGGAAGACGTAACACTTCCCATAGAAACAGACTATACTTACCTCACCACTAAGAAGATGTATGATCTCAAAAGCGTGCTTTACAATACGAACAGCCATCAGCTTTTTACCATTATTCCTTCCATGCATCATCATTGAATTGCATAATCGTTCTACAACTGGACATCCTGCTTTGCGAAAACGCACAGTCTGAACTTGAAGAATATTTGCCCAAAAAAAAAACTATAAATCGTAGGTAACCTTTTACCTGATAGCGCCCAGCAGTATGTGGAAGATATCTGGAGTGTTTCTCTTTTACACCAATATAATCAACTAATGAAATATCGGAAACGTCAACATCTTGCAGGCTCCATTTGTTAAATAATTTTGGCTACAAAAAAATTTTTCTCAAGGAAAATTTCGAGGAGAGGGAGTTACAGACCTCGGGAAGATCTAAGGGAGCTGGAGCGTCTGCAGATGGCTCTTCGACTGTAACAACCCAATCGTCACCCATCTCTCTACAACATCTTTTATTTACAATCAAATTAGGGTGAGCTACTTAAAAATAATTAAATGTCGGTAAAGAGTAACATTAAAAAAATAGTTTGGATATCCGACAGGTTTTATCTGAAGGCTACTGTAGGAATAAATTCGTCTAGAAGTAATTCCACAGCTAAATTCTAATGTTAGCCAAATGAGGGTGTCAGATAACTAAGAACTCGCAAACAACAGTTTTCAAACAATCTGGTAAAGCTCACCTATTCCTTTAAAGGTGAACTGTTATGAGACACCTATGATATGCAGAACAACTGCAAAAATGAGATAAACACTTTAGAAATGAAAAGGATGGCTGGATGATACAGACACGAATGTACAGCGTAGACTTGTCTTTACAGGTAAAAACCCTGTGTCAAACCCGTTGACAAGCATTATACTACTTGTTTGACGAGATAATTGCTGTCAGTAACATGAATGAACATGTT